ATAGCTCTCGTGTAGCTTTGCGCGAAATTCAAAAACAAATGCAAACAAACTTCGGCACTGAAAAATCACTATCCACGTCTCTGAGTACAATTGCGATCTGTTTGTACCTACTTATATCCTATGTTTCATAAGTTATGACAGCAACATGCCTGAATTTCGCACTTATTTTACTTATTATGATTTACTTATTTTGATGGCTGTCTTGGTCGTAACTAAACGGCTTCCCATGTCTTTTAAAGAAACGTTCGATTCAACGGCTGTCATTTGCGCTCAATTCCATTAACTCTAAAATATTTGTCCTTACTGGCTTATCATAGTCTTTCAGTGCGATATCAAAGAAACTATACTTTAGCACATAGCTTTCAAGTATTGCCTGTTTTCATCCACATGCATGTCATGGTCTGTATTAAATTCAGCAGTAACGATATGGTTTTTAAAGAGGAAATATGGGAACCGCATTTTTGATGAACGTAAAGGTTTTTCGCTTGCCTATTCTTAATTTGAAAGTTCGTATGAAAGGTTTGGTTTGCTTTTAATTTCGCGCAAAACTACACGAGGGCTATCTGCGCTAGCCGTCCTTAATTCAGCAGTGATAGATTAGAGGGAAGGCAGCTGGTCAACACCACCAATTCTTGGGCTACTCTTTTACCAACGAATAGTGGGACTGGCCGTAATATAATAATGTTCTCACGGTTGAAAGAGCGAGCATGTTCGGTGTGATGAGGATTCGAACCTTCAACCTTCAGATTGCGAGTCTAACCACCAGGACTTCATACGAAAAGCTTGGTCTCTTCACCTACTTCTACCAAGTGCATGACAATTGGGCTAAAAAACTTCGATCAATTACTGGACTATATTCAAGCCACAAACATGTTGATAGGTTGCATGCCATTATTTTCCAGACTTTCTCTCTCCACTCACTGCGAATGAAACTTCTGGTTGGTAGAGTCCGTTTTCAATAAATCTTACAGTGTCTGTAAGGCCATACAGGTCTCGTATTATTTGTGCTGTGCCCTGCTCTGAGGTTGGCATATAATTTTGTTTCTGAGACTGGCACAGCAGATACACGTGTTTTTGGTTCTTCATTTTGGAAACAGTCACTATTTTGTCACAATTTTACTGTACTTTATCAAATATTAACCTAACGTGTAAATGTATTTAGCTATAATTGCCAGTACTACACAACAGGTCCCTCAGTGGGACAGCTGTAAGGCTAGGGGTTTTACAAAGCTAAAATCAGTGGTCCGATTCCCCTCGGTGGACACAGCAAATAGCCCGATGTGTTTGTTTGCTTCTTTTTGAATTTCGCGCAAAGGTACACGAGGGCTATCTGCGCTATCCGTTACTAATTTAGCAGTGTAAGAATAGAGGGAAGGAAGCTAGTCATCACCACCCACCACCAACTCGTGAGCTACTATTTTACCTACGAATTGTGAGATTGATCGCCACTTTCTAATGTCCCCACGGCTGAAAGGGCGAGCATGCTTGGTGGGACGGAGATTCGAACGACGGCGAGTCGAGCGCCCTAACCACCTGGCCATGCCAGTGCAATAAAACATGCACACCCACGCGCACAGTGCACAACAAAAATCAGTTGTTACTCTAAAGAAGCAGGTCCGTAACTTACAGCTTACCCACGGGTGGGGAGGGGGGGCAATTTGTATCATTTTATATTTTGATACATACAATAACAATTATTGTACCTTTTGAATTTAACAAAAACTGTTGATTGAATATTTAATTAAAGTATTTTATATATCTTTAAGAGTTAATGCCTTCAATTTTTAATTAACCAAACTGTGTTCGCAAATTAATTAATATTTGTAACTATTATTACTTGAGAATAATTAAAGTCATTAAAGAAACCGCATCTGCTAGATATGTACTTATAACATGATCGAATGTTAGAAACTTACTTGTAGCTTCTTTATTTTTTCAACTATTTTATTATATGTAGCTATTTTATAATCAACAGTACTGAACAAAATTATACAAAATAGAGTATTTCAAGTTATTTTTATACTAAAAAATAAAATAAAATAAAAAACTAGTAAAAGACCCGCCTGGGGCAATTGGATTTAATGTATAGCACGTGACTTTGTTGTGCACGAGATATTTGGGCGTTGACTGAAATCAAATTGATAGATAATTATCACTCAGTATTTTTATTTAATTTAAAATGTTGTTGGTTTAAATTTTAAACTTATATAAACTACGATTCTTTTTCTTGATTTCCAAACGATTAAAGAGCCGCCAACCAGTGTACCATTTAATATTACTGTATTGACAAAGGCGTTTACTAAATTTACGTGGTAGGCCCTATATTGTATTTATTAATATTACTATTAGGCCTACTGATACTATCAGTGATAATGATAGTTTTGACTTATTACTGTTTACGATGTTATGAACTATAATTTATAAGTTAAAACTTACAAGTACTGTAATGTTTAGTACAAGTTCTGTCTTAACTGTTTAATTATTATAAATCACTGATACCAGTACCAATGGTAGTACCATGCATAACACATTACTTAATACTATTGTTATTAACAGTAGATTTTAACAATGTATAATTATATTTTCTTATTGTGTGAGAAATTGTGTTGTTTATGATTCACAATTTTTATTTTCTAAAATAGAAGCTATAACTGGAGTTTGGACTGGTATTCAATATGTCTAAGCAAGAAGTAAAACTTTGCCTGCTTGGGGTGAGTAATTTTTTTTTCTATAACCTATAAAATTATACATTAAAATCAGGGCCATAGGAACACCTGAGATTCTCAGGCCAGGGCTTTATCACAGTGTCATCTTACTAACTGTATTGCTCAGATTGGTTTCAGAGTTTACAAGAGTATCTACCATTTAGTTCTCAAATACATGATGAACTTAAAAATGGACCAGGATCTCATTAACAAATATTTGTTGGGTTGAGTTAGCTTTTGGGTAATAAGGAAAAGTTTAGTTAAGAGGGAAAGTGGAATCTATGCAGGATGAATGAAACATGTAGTTCCTTATATGCAGAAAGGTAGTCTTACATGCAGTCTGATGATTTTTCTTCTGTTGGCTCTGAGGCTTAGTTTGTGGGAGATCAAGGGCAGACTAGTGAGAATTTAGACTATTTTTCCAGCACCTTTCTTTGCTCAGATGGACATTCTGCCTCCTGCACCCTTTTTAAAACTAGTACACCATGTTTGTAATATTTTGAGTATTTCTCCTTTGGCTTATGAATCTTCATTTTCTTTATTGGGAGAAACTAGTTTGTCTGATTACCTGGTCCTTCCACCTTTGCCAGGCATTGCTGTACATACAAGAAGTTTTGTACATCAATTGAGAGAGGGTGTTGCCATGCTTTGGCCTTCTCATTTATTGGATCAGCATACCTTGGCTTTCCATCACCTGTAGAACTCTTATTTGGACTCTCAGAGGTTAAACCCTTTACTTCCTGGCTTGATTGTGATAAAGGGAGTAACTTCATTTCTTTTGTGCTATTCTATTTCTTTTCACAGACCTTCTCATCATTCTTATTTGAATCCCTTTCAGTGTCGGGTGTTGCCTGGTTTAGTATGCTTATACAAATCTGCATTAGCTACCAGTAGTCTCATAACTAAGTTCCTGGAAAATGTAAACGTCTTTGTTAAAACATGAGAAAAAGCAAGGTTCCAGAAGACCATTTGGCTCTTTTTAAGTCATCCTCCCTCAGTGACAAAAACAAAAATTATGTCAACTCCCCAGGGCTGACAGCTGCCCGGGTCTCTTGAGGGGCTCGGCAGTGGGATATTCCAAAGCTCATTAAAAATGCATACTACTTAATGAGCTAAAATGTGAACTGATTTTTTGAAGAAATTTGTCACCTAAATTTCTTTTATGGCAAATCAGCAAAAGTTAATAAATAGAATGAAAGGGGGACCAATGATATTACTGACCCTGAGGCCTGGACTGGCTCTCGATGCCTCTGCAACTCCAAGCTAAATGTAACTCATATTCATATGCCTATCTCAACAAAATGTATAAAATAATCAAAGAACTAATAAATGTATTAGGTCATCAAGAAATTAATGTTGTGTTTTGGAACACTTTCATTAACCACCCCCCAAAAACGTACATAACGTATAATAGTTAAACGAACTGCCTAAACGTCATATTAGTGTAGTCTATGTAATATGTAAAGTTTAGTATACTATAATCCCTTATAGTGATGGGACACCAGACAAATTCGGCATCTAATGCTGTTTGAATACAAGAGAGGAAACAATGCCTCTTTAGCCACAAAGAATATCAAAGAAGTTTGTGGAAATGTTTTGAACATTTGTAAGTGTCAACAATGGTTTAGGAAATTTATTCAGGTGACTTTAGCCTTAAAAACTGTGATGGCAGGGGCTGACATGTTGGGATTGATATTGATGCTCTGAAGAAGCTTGTTGAGTCTAACCCAAGGCAACACACTCGTGAAATGGCCCTAAAATTGAAACAATACGGAAACATCTAAGAAATATGGGAAAACTCCATGAAGTAGGTGTTAGGGTACCTTACAAACTCTCTGATGATCATCATTTCCAACGTGTGAGTGTTGCTTCGTGTCTTCTGGCACGTAATGCGCTTGAACCATTTTTGGACAGAATTGTCACCGGTGATAAAAAATGGATTCTCTGTGCGAATATTAAATGCCAAAAATAATGGCTCAGTCCTAGACAAAAACCACTTCTGACCCCAAACCCTGGACTACATTTGCAGAAAGTGATGCTTTGCATTTGGTTGGCCATCAAAGTAGTAATTCATTTCAAACTCCTCAATCCACAGTGAACTGTCAATGCAGAGATCTATAATCAGCAACTGAAATGTTTAAATCAGAAATGCTCTTCACTCGTCAATTGGAAAGGTGTTCTTTTCCACAACGATGCACTTCCACATGCATGTTTGACGCAACTCAAGTTTATGGAGTTGGGTTGGGAAGTTCTCCCCCACCCACCATATTCTCCATATATGGCACCATCAGATTACCATCTTTTTTGTTCGCTGCAACACCATCTTAATGAGAAAACATATGGAAATGTGGAAGGGGTTAACGAGGACATGTTTTTTGCTT